AGATGTTGGCGGCGCGACGCGCGGACGGCGCGGACCCGGCGGGCGCTGGCGAGGCCGTGACCCTGCAGCGCAGCATCACGCTGCTCAACGGCGTGGCCATCATCGTGGGCACCATCATCGGCTCGGGCATCTTCGTGACGCCCACGGGAGTGCTCAAGGAGGCGGGCTCGCCGGGGCTGGCGCTGGTGGTGTGGGCCGTGTGCGGCGTCTTCTCCATCGTGGGCGCGCTCTGCTACGCCGAGCTGGGCACCACCATCTCCAAGTCGGGCGGCGACTACGCCTACATGCTCGAGGTCTACGGCTCGCTGCCCGCCTTCCTCAAGCTCTGGATCGAGCTGCTCATTATCCGGCCCTCCTCGCAGTACATCGTGGCGCTCGTCTTCGCCACCTACCTGCTCAAGCCGCTCTTCCCCACCTGCCCCGTGCCCGAGGAGGCCGCCAAGCTCGTGGCCTGCCTCTGCGTGCGTGAGTACGGGGCCGGGCCGGGGCTCCCGGGGTTCTGCGTGCCCGGGTCCCGCATCCCCGGAGAGTCCACCTTCCTGCCTCCCCGGATGGCCACCTCCTACCTCCCCGCATCCCTGGACCATCCCTGCAGTTAGTTCTAGGCTAAGGCCACTGGTCCCACCCAGAACCACATGTTTCATTCATTCCTTTACACTCTCCGGGCAGCCCGGGGAATGAAAGCTGCAGTAAGACAGACAGCAGGGTCCCTGCCCTGACCCTCCAGAGGGCATTCCACCGTCCCCCTTAACCCACTAGGACTTAAGCCGTTCAAGCAAGCGCCAGCCTTCCTTTGGCCCTGGCTGAGCAGTATTCCATGCCTCTTGCAAGGCACCCACATGGAGGGCCTAAGCCAATTTCCTGTTTGAGCTCCAGTTACTAATTGGTTGGTTATGGAGAGGGAAACTGCAGTTAAAAAAAAAAAGATTACTTGCTTCTGCTGTCCAAACCAGCCTGTCAGGAATCAGTGGCACGAGCTAATTCATAGGAACACAGTGTGTGGGGAAATGACTGTTGCTTGCTCAGGCTAAGCAGTGTCAAATCCCCTGAAGGCTGCTCAGCAGTGCAGGAGGGCAGCTTGGCTGCAAATGAAGTCTGTGTGTGTGTTGGGGGTGGCTGGGCTTGGTGGTCCCAAGTTGTGCCAAGAAGCAGCCACTGGGCACACATCCCTACTGTTGGTGGGGACAGAGCTGGGGTGTGCTTCACCAGGCCAGAGAGAACTGTTGCTTTGCAAAAACAGTTTTTTCCTGGGATTTCAGGGGGAAAAAATAGTTTGTACTGCATGTCACGTGATGGGGAGGGGGGCCTCTTGGCAATTCTCAAGCTCATGCCTTGGCCAGTCTCTTGGAAGTGTCCTGCTTTCAAAGTTTACATTGGAGTCCTGGGCATCCAAGACTTAGGTTTATTTACTAGTATTTGCCTTAAGAGCTGCCACCTGTTTTAAGGTTCTACCTGAATCTTGATAGTGCATTCAAATACAGGACTAGCAGGGCTAAATTTTTAGTTTTGGGTTATGAGCCATGACATTCAAGGGAATGCGTAATTACTTGGAGTGGCTTCTGTCTAGGAATACCTGTTGGTGCTGTTGGATTTGGGAGCCACACTGTGCAGCATGGGGAAAGTTGAGACAGGTTCTGTGAACTCAGTGCAGAGGGCAGACTAAGCTCAGAAGCTTTCCTAGGACCCTGAATAGCAACCATGTCATGATATTTGCCCTTTTAAAGGGGAGTCTCAGTGGTGTGGGTCTCAGCTTCAGAAAGCTTTGTTTGGTCCAAATCTAGGAATAGTCATAAGCCACTGTTGACCTTCCTAAGGACGGGAGTTGGGGAAATCTGCATCTTCTGGTTGAACATTGGAGATGAAGATTTTATGGGATGACGCAATGGGCTGAGTGAGGAAAGGAAAAGGTCTTTAAAGCGGAGATTACTTGGTTTGTTTTGTCATTAGGAGAATTTTACTTGTCCAGTGCTCATCATTGCTAGGTGCTATTTAATATTTTATCCTAGTATGTAATGACATAGGTAATATCTTTAAAGGGCCTGCGCTCTTTAAAATCGGATACCTGTGTACTGGGCCTTTTTTTCCTGGTAGTGCCGGAGGAAGTTGAGGAAAATGCCACTTCAGCCCGTTAACAGGAGGGAGATTTAGGATAGAGGGTTTTCTAGTTTTCTCTTTCTAATATGAAAACAGTTAACACACGAATACATTATCATGTAAGCACTGAAGCCCTGCAGATGCTGGGTGAGCAGAGCATGGGGCCATGTTCCTCCTCCTCTGTTCCACCCCCACTTCCATGGCTGACAGTGGTACTTCTAGAGCTTTCTCCTCTACACATACTTAGTTGGCTTATTTAAAATATCAACTGGGTCATAACATGCGACTTGTTCTCCCCCCCCTTTTTTTAAGGTTAAGATGGTATTGCCATGTTTCTGCAGCATTACACAAGGTTAGGGTTAAGCAACTCTTACTTCGTTGTACGTGCATGGACAAGTGTGCCTAGCCTGCCCTCTGCAGCCCCCATGGAGGGCATTTGGAGTTTCCCAGCTTCATGCAAATGGCAAAAAGATGTGTGGTTTCTAATTTGATAGCCAAAGTGCCTTCCAAAGAGGCTATACTCAGTCGCATGTTCATGGACTTTTTTTGTAATGATAGAGCTTTTAAATATTTTAAATAGCTTTAAACTGTCCGTTTTGGCCCAAGTAGGCAAAACCTTGGAATGGTTTCTAGAATGAATACGGCCTTGCCAACGTGCTCAGACCCAGAGGGTTGACGCTGGTTAGGATCCCTTTCAATTGAACAAGTGAGTGCCACGCTTCCGGCCTAGAGTTGGTAGAACTCCAAACCAACTCAAGGTTTACTCTGACTCAGGCTTAGAGAGGAGCTAGGAGGTCCTGGGAGGGGGAGACCCTGCCCCTGTAGGGGGGCATCCGAGAAGTCCTAGAACAGGTGCAAGGGGCAGCCTGGAGGCCTGACCACTGGGCCGATGGCCCTGCAGGGTGTGAAGGAAAGGCCTGGACATTTGGCCTCAGGCGCCATCCTGAGGCCTGTGGACATTGTTCCTGAGGCATGAAAAGCCACAGAAAGTTTTAGTGTTTTTTAATGATCATGCATAAAGCTGGGTTCCAGAATTTCCCCTTAGGAAGAGAAGGATCACTCTACCCTGCTCTTTCTGGATCCTGGTCCTACTGAAGGTGCAGGGTGCACGATGGCTGTCAGGGGCCCGCCTCTGAGGCTGCCTCAGGAAAGGGCCTGGTGACAGCACAGGAGGTGTGGATTCCAGAGCAGAGTTCTCATTTCAGTCCCCTGGTCATGTCCCACAAAAAGTTTCTTTCTGCTCTTTAAAAACTTATATTGTGTGGGCCGGCCCGGTGGCGCACCGGATAGTGCGCCGCTTGGGAAGCGCGGCGGCGCTCCCGTCCGAGGGTTCGGATCCCACATACAGACCGGCTCCCGCTCACTGGCTGAGCGAGGCGCGGGAGCAACGCAGAGGTTTGCAATCCCGTTGCCGGTCCCAGTCCAGTACAGGGGCAACACTGAGGGTTGCGATCCATTGCCGGACACGGAAAAAAAAGAAAAAAAAAAAAAAAAAAAAAAACATATTGTGAACATGGCTTGGCTTTGGTGTTTTCAGTGTTCCTCTGACAGTAAAAACGGAAATAGATCCCATTCTGGTAGGTCTGGATTCAAAATTCAGAGATGAGGTCCCTTCATAGCATATATTTAGTTCGTTTATGTTTTTCATCAGTCATGAAAGTGAGAGAAGCCAGCATGATAAATCTTTCTCAATGGCCATGTGGGATTTAGTATGAGAGTAGGTTTATGTGGGTTGTTTATTGCTTAGTGAAAACTTGGTAGTGTTTACTTGAAATCCAAGGGGTGCCAGGTTTTGTCTTAGCAGCAGCAGTCACACAGACGGGTTGAGATTCTCGCTGGGCCAGGGCTTGACTGGGCAGTTTATCTAACCTCGCTGGGCTGCAGCTTTCTCTGCAGTAGGTGTAGTAGTGTCTGCTCAGCATGAGGGTACAAGGTTATGGCCCATGGCAGGCTCTCAAGTGAGCGGGAGCTGTTTTGGTTCTAAAACACAGCTGCAGGCCTGGGGGGTCCTTCATCTCCAGGGAGGAGCTAGTGGAAGACAGGGTTGGGATGGGCTCGCTTCTTCCTCTGCTAAGTCGAGATCACTTACCCAAGCCTGTAGATGTCAGGGAAGTGGCCTACAGACTGCTATTCTGCCACGTGGAAAGCAGAAGTAGCCCACCCTCCTCTCCCTCTCCCAGTTGGGCAGAGGACAGGACCTGCCTTCTGGGACAGCTACCCAGGCCTTGCTCCTCATTTCATCCAAGGTCACCCATCAGTCTTGCAGAGCTCTTGTCTGCTGGAGGCTGGGGACCCTTCTTTGACTTCTCGTGGGAGGTGGTGATGGGTCTACTGAGGCTCCCTGGAGCATAGCTCACCCATCTGACTGTCACTTGGGCAGGGCCTCCTAAATCAGCGTGGGCTGGGGTGGTGGCCATTCTCAGTTGGCGTCGCATGACCTGAGTATTTCTTACCTGGCGTCATGTCAATAGCAACCTGGGTGCTGTTTCGAGAAATCCACTGGGACCCTTTGAGCCTCAGCTTCTGGGTCTGTGGTGTGGGGTATCCCAGCCCTGCTTGGGTATTCAAGAGGATTCTAGGCCACGGTGTACTTAGCGTGTACAGCACCTGGGCCGTCCCTGCTGTTCTCAACACCGCCCTTGTCTTCTGTTAGCTTGTAACATTGACCAGCCCCAGAACTCTCTTCTCATTTAATAAAAAGAAGGAAGGAGTGAGAGGCTGGAGAGAAAAACCAGAGGTGAATGCCATGTGTCTCCCTGTCCTGGAGCTCTGGGTTGAGGTGACGTGGCTCACCGAGGGTACAGACGTCACTGCAGCTGGCCCTGCCGGGCACTGAAGAAGGATGCAGGGCCTGGAGGGCTGAGGCCATGGGGGTGGGTTCCGGTGGCTGTGGGTGGCTATGGTCAGCTGACGTGAGGGTGGTTGGGGCTGTGACCAGAGCAAGAGAGTGAGTGTTTTGCCCCCTGGGTCTTCAAGCCGTCTGAGGGGCGTCCACCACCGTTGTGCCCTTTTCTCACCCAGTCCCACGTGAAACCTGGTCCCATTTGGGTTTCAGGACATTGGCCAGCTGCCATGGCTGGGACCCTCACTCAGTGTTTCCAGGGAGCTGGGCAGACCCCAGAATCTCAAGCCGGGAGCTCAGTGCAGACAACAGCCTGGCGATTAGCACCGAAATCCGACTTTCCCAGCCAGCCATGAAAGTGCTGCTGGTGCCTGAGCAGGTCATGCTGAGTCATGGGATTTGGGGCTGAGGCCCATCAGGGTAGTTCACTGAAGCACATGACCCCAGGATAGACAGGAGACGCTAGTGGGAGTTTCTAACCCTTTTTCCCTGGGTCACAGGCCCTTTTGATATTCCCATAGAATGTGCA